CCCCCCCCCCCACCAGAAGGATATAAAGACTAAACATTTTTTTTATCTTAACACTACACCCTACTATTTGTCTCTCTTACTTGGTTCATTCACATAATCAAAATTCATATAAAATGAGGTTGATATTATTGTAGTTTCTGCTAAAAAACTCAAATACCACATTGACTATCTAACTGCTATCAGTGCTATGACAGTTTAGCTAACTGAAAAGGATACAAGTCGTGCATTTATCTTTAACAAATGGGCAAATACTTGTGAAGAAATCTAAAAAAAAAAAAAAATCTAATTATTTTCGAACATACTTGTATGCAAGAAAAAGATAAAAAAAGAGCAAATTTGTGTTAGATATTGTCAGCTCTATGTATAATTTCATCTCGAGTTCACAACGCAGATAGCCTACAGGAACAATCTTACAAGCCATGGAAGCACAAGAAACACGTATCGCAAAAAAAGATTAAAGGCATTGATTAATTGCAGAAAAGCTCCATCAATTAAACATCTAAAGTTGAAACTAGAACATCATTTAGAGACAGAACCAACAAGAGACCATGAATTTGCTGTCATGTTGAACTACAATTTGTGGAAGCCATAGAGAGAGAGAGAGAGGGAGAGCTAAGATTTTTGTTCTTTCTTTCTTCTGCAGTGGGTGGAAAAATGCATTATATGTAAGTCATATCAAACTGGCTAAATCAAAATGTTGAAGGAAAAAAATAGTACTTTTGAACTCGTGTCAGCTACACATTGAGAACTTTAAGTATAGGTCCCTCAACTGCAGATTACAAAGAAGATAGTGATGCTGTAGTACTTGCAGGTGGTGCTGGAGTTGCAGTTGCATTATCTGTCCAATTTGTTTCACCCCAGTGCCACAGCATGCTTTCCCAGTAGCAAAACTCCTCAAAGCAAGTCTTTAAACGCCGGTCCTTTATCTTAATTTTCCAATGACCATCTGAGTAATTCCCGTTCTCAGCTTGCCTTCGATCCCATTCCAGTGCTGCCTTCTGTTTTGATCTAAGCAAGCAGTATTTATGCAAGTTTTTAGGCATTGCATCATGGACTTTCCACCATGTTCTGTGTGCACCATTACTTGCAAACTCCTGCAATCTGTCCACGTTCCAGTTGCAATCATAATCCCGGAAGCATAGCCAAGGTTTCAAACCCAAGTAATGGAGAACATAAAGGACCGGAGGATCAGCTCCAAAGAGACGAGTTTTCATCTGTTTCTTCTCCTCCTCATCACCTTCCCAAAAGTGCTTCAAGAAGTTCATGTGTTTTGGGATCCGATGCCACCATGTGAAGATCTCATTTAAATAACCCTGGTCCCCACCATTGTAGGACTCAATCTCGTTGATGTGATCCATTAGCAGTTGGAATGTGCACTGTGATGGTTCAACAACCATCACGCCTGAATTGAACAAGGTAGCATTGTTTCCTGTTGCAGATATTTCTGGCATCTCAAATAGGAAATCAATATTCCGAAGTATAAGCAAGTCAGCATCGATGAAAGTGATCTTGTCATAATCTGTCAACTGCCAGAGTCGGAATTTGCTGTAGTTCCACTCATTGTATGCATCCCGTTCAGCTTTTGGGTTTCTGATTCTTTCAATCACATGAATTTTCCAACCTGCAGCCTCCAGGCCTCCTCTGTGATAGTCACTGATTGTCTTATCAACAAGTATGACAAGATCCCGTGTTGATCCTGCCATGCGAATACTCTGAGCTGCAGCAATGGCCCCACAGACGTAAACATGTGCCGAGTGTAGTATTGTTGCATATGCTTCTCGATGCACATTTCCTGAGTACCTGTGTTCTGTTTACAAATGTCATGTTAGCCATTTATTCTCTTAAGTATCCTAAAAAGACCAACATGTTGGTTTTAATACACATGGCACACATGCAAAGCTGCTGCATCCACCTTTTATCATAAAGGTCAATGGAATAAAATTTTTCAGAAATGTATCATCTTGAACACCGACCATATAATCTTTCTCCCAGAGTCTAATTGTTATCTCTGGGATTGATTAGTGTCTATTATAGATTGAATTGTTGTAGAAGCCACAGGCAAATATGGTTTGATTTGTGTGCCACATGAATCAAGCCAAGCCTCATCTCAATATTCTGGAAAGTATCCTCATCTCAAAATACTATTTAGGCATCAGAAGACAGAATTTAGTTGGCAGCTTTCAAAAAGGGTGGCCCAGTACATGCAGCTCCTGCCACTGTTGAGCCTAGATAGGGTCAGATGTACGTAGCCTTACCCACCCGCATGTGGAGAGACTAGCCAAACCATTAACACCCAAGTCACTATGGCGGCAGCTTTCAATTGCCATAAAATTCAAGGTACAGAAATGATAGGAATATAGGAACAAAAAGATATAAGAACAAAAAATATGGATTGATTAGTGTGTCATACAAATCAAGCCTCATCTTAATTTTATTTAGGCATAACAAATAAAGATGTGGAGGACAGAATTTGGTGGGCAGGTTTCAATTGAAATAGAAGTCCGGCTACAGAAATGATAGGACCATAGGAACAAAATGATACCCAGTATAGAACTAACCTTTGGCATTGAGAGGAACTGCTAATTCACATGAACCAACTGGAAGGTGGAGCTTTTGCCTCAATGTATTGAGGTTGGGTTCATAAAGCCATGAATTGCCTTCATGTGCAACAAGCTCTTTGCAAGTAAAAAGATTTGGACTGGGGAAGCAATCAGTCACCAAAAGTACACGCACTGGATGATACCCTTTAGCAGAGGTGGCGAGTCTCGCCGCTTCGAGTTGCAAGTGCAAACGAGCCACATCTCTTGACCAGTCCACTAAATGGTTGCAGGGAAGTTTGACGGCAATGAGATCAATCCTTGGTTTTCCAGGGACCTGAATCCTGGGCAGAGTAGGACAAGTGGGAGACTCAAATTCCTCTTCCTCGTCTATCCATTCAGGATACAGCAATTCCCAAGTGACATTGTGTGATACATAATCGAGGTGGAGAACAACATGCTCCGCATCTGGTATGAGCTGCTTCCACTGATCAATTTCACTACTGTTGAAGTTTAACAAACCTATTCCCTGATACTCATTCTTGTCTGTAAGTTTATCAATTATATTGGATATTTGATCCCAGTCAACATCTAAAACTGATACATAACGTTGATCTACAGCAGATTTCTCCCTTATCCATTCATCCACAAAATATGGTCTGCAAGCAATAAAACACTGCTTTCAAGACATTATAAAGAGAGAAAATGATATCCCTATTCTAATTCTTTCTACAAAATTAAATCCAACACATGTTCATAAGGGTGGGCATTCACCATTGCCGTAAAGAATGGATTATGCACAGAAAGGAATAATTAAACTGAAAAGCTACCATGAAAAATGAAGTCAAACCAAATTAAATCATCAGTAATCAGAAAAAAAAGTACGTGATATAACATACCGAGCTCCAGAACTGTACAGATGTTCAGTGTTATAACCTGCTGGAGAGAAAAGGAGCATAAAAAATGCTCCCAACATTATAATAATCAGCACAACTTTCAAACTAGAGAACTTGCAGTTTGAGGTCCTATCTTGGCTGGGACTATGAAAGGGCCTATCCCCATCTCTAGAAGCTTTACTTTTTAAAGACCTCCTTTTATTTGCATCTTCACTGAACCACATTCAAAAAAAAAATTAGCATGCGAAGATCAGAATGCAAAGAGAATGACAGAAATCCATTATGGCAACTGACAGATTTTATGAGAGATTTGGAAGCACAGTTTACTTTGTTCAAGTCATTCAAAATGCATGCTTTGGCAAACACATAACAACCCTCAAGTTCACATATCCAATAAATGGTGAAATCAGTTTCATGGGAGAGAAATTGGATAGGTAAAAGACAATACCAAGAGGCCATCCTCACAAAATTTCTGACTATTTTTTACACGCAAATCAGGCATTGCTCCACAAATACATATTTATATGGAAACTACCACATAAAGACTCTTCGCTACCACACTGATTGAATACTTGGACGATTGCATACCTGATTTTTGGGTTTTTTTAATAAAATGCCTATTTGGGGTTTTACTATGCCATGTGATTAAAGCTTGGGCTGCCAAGTGCAAGTGAAGGTTCAAGTCTGAGGATCACTACTTCACACAAATGCACTGATGCCGAATTGTACTTGTACTCAGTCTGCCACTGCCATCAATTCGAGTAGAAGGATCCAAACAAGGTAGTCCCTTTTCCTCCAGAGAAGAAATCCATAACAGAAAATCTTCTAAGCTAGAGAATTTTGACACATGGATATGCCCTCACACAACATTGAAATCTAATAATCCTCTTTTTTCCTTCATATGACACAGCATAAGGAAGAAGAACCCAAATAATGAATCCATAAATCTAATTTGTGATTCAAGATTGTCTGTCAAAACCAAAGTGAGGTCATGTAGAGTATATCGAGCCACCCCCACCCCCCTCTTCTCTCCTCTTGCAGGCAGTTGCCCAACTGGACAAGCAAATCCAAGAATCCCACTTTAGCTTAGATATACATGGTTCAACCCATTCAAAACAATAAAGCACCATAAGAGAGAAAGGTTGGATGCCTTGCAAGCCACCAGCTTACACCTACCAACAAAGGCCCTATTAGAGACCACAACAGCACAACCTGACAACTGACATGGAAATCACCCATAAGCTGCCATACAGAGGAAAACCACAGCTATACCCTATGTATCAAGGTTAGGATGGTCAGCTATCTTAAAGACGCCTCTGCACAAACAACCAGACAAGATGGCAGCTTTCTGCTCCACTTTAAATCGTCTACTGTCAATATTTTCCAAACAGCCATTGTCAAACAAAGAATGCTATCCTGGTGAAAACTTTGGTTGTCAAATGTCTTGCCATGAAAACCACTAAACAACATGTAAAATCAACTTGCCAACACTGTGGCCCAACCGTACGTTAACCAAAAAAAGTAGGCATGCAACAGTAGAACGTCTCATGCACCACTTCATGATGTGCAGGAAGACCTACTTTTGCAGCTTCCACAAACTTCTCACTCTTTAAACAACATATTGGATGTGACAACTAAAATTCTGCAGAAGCAAAAAAATTGTGCAAATGACAGTAACCCAATCTAATGTTGAAGGACAATAATTTGAAAATCATACTATAATTAAAATGTGATGACACAGAAACTATTGCGGAACTTCTACATTGAAATATAAATCATATGGCATGGATATAGCAAACTTCCTTTCCCACAAGTTCTCAGATTAAATTTCTACAGTCTTCTCCAAATTCTCGACAAACTTCTTCATTCTCACTAGCTTCATGACTCAATACATTTAGCAAATTGGTTTGCTAATCCGACTAAGACAAGTTCAAAACAACTCCTATATCCTTAACTATTTCAAGTCTCGTTAACCCAACCTGAATCATATCATCAGCTCAACAGTTAACTTGAATCACACAATAGTCTTTGCTGATGATCATCTCAGGAAGAGAATATAAGAAAGGCAAAGGAGAGGACAGATAAGAGAACAAACAATAATGAACTGTAAATTGATACTAGGGTACAGCTGAGCAAAAGAACTAGGGTACTGTAACCCTTCAATAATGCTGCAGTAAGAAGTCAATTCATACAAAGATATTAGAAAGAAGAAAAAGAGAAGGAAAAAAATTAAGGGAAAAATCCAATCAGCAATATACAAATTCGAAGTTCTAACAGGGAAATTGGAACTACTCTGCGATAGAAATGAGATAGAAAATCATCATCCTTCACATCTTAATTCATATGAAGCTTGCCAAGGCTCCTTCAATCCGTTTAAGTTTCTCGCTCTAGACTCAAGAAATTGAAGGTGCTTTCTCAAAATAACCGAGGGTTCTCAGCAGCAGTCCACACTGTGAATCCTTTCAAATTGAAACCCATTAAAAAGAATGGTGCAAGCACAAAAGGCACCATGTCCTGACAATCATGATTGGGTTTCCGTGTTTAGATCATAAACAGATTGTAACTAGAAAGCTTAATAATTATACAGCATATATATAATGTCCTTGCTACAAAATTGTAGATTTTTTCCTGTCCCTCATGATTATTAGTCTTTTACAGAGGGTCACGACTTTGATTCATTAGAGATTTTTGGAGGGGAATTCATCATTCCGGCAAGAAAATTGCTTAGTAAACCATCTACACACAGCATGCATATGGATTCTCTTTGTCAATTGCTTTGATTAAATTGAGCTTACTTTGGTTACTAGAAGAAGACACTCCTATACACACGAGGCAAATTGGCTTAATGAGCTGAATAGAGAGGCAGCAGAACAAACACAACAAGCATATATTGTTTTCTCAAGGCTTGATCCTCTTTCCCTATCACATGATTTTTTCATGTTTCATCAGTATACTCTTATGACAGAGTCAACCCAAACATGAATGAGAATTAGTTTTTTCATATTAGCACAAAACCGCCACAGAACTTTTATTAGAGGGCTTTAAGAGGCAAAAGTAGTTATATAGATTTCATTATCCTTCAAAACAAACGTAAAAACAATTTAGACATCAAGTGCTGTTACTGTCAGTAGCATTCTTGAACTTTAAACCAATATTCTGCCATCACATCTCCATAGATATAACACGCAGATGCCAATTCTCCTCCAAAAATACTCCCTGAAACAGTCATCAACGCCCAAGCACCCTGGTAATTCAATTAACTGGCTCCATAATACACAAAGCTTCTTGTCCTATCTCTACTTGCTATGTTGTGAGGTTCAATTAGGCCTCAGAAGACCACATTAAAGAAGTGAACAAAATTAACACAGCCAAAAAATAAGCCTGTAGAAGCACTCCTCAAGCAACTTAATTTTTAGTATTATCAACTCAACAGCTACATTTCCCACCAACTAGTATGATGTAACAAAGATGTAATCATAACTTAAGGAAACAGGGTGCAAGTGCTTATCCCAAAACTACCTTTTCAACACTATAAGCACCTAGTTTCTATCTGTCTCAATCAGAAACCAAATCCTAACAACTAAGAGAAAACGCCCATACCTGCCCTTCAATTATAATCAAAATAAATGACCCCTTTCAATCAGTCGTTAGAAATAAGATGACCCCGAATGCACATAAACTATTTATAAACTAAATCCACATTCAGAGGTCTCTTTTTCGTTTCCTTTTTTAGCCCTGCCCAATCAAAACCCCTCTCCATCTTAATGAAAGCATGATTCAATCCTGAAGACTTAAGCAGAACTGTTACCTTCAGATTCAGAATCAACACTGAAGTTCTAACGGAATTAAAACTCAGAAACAATGAGGAGTACTACTTACAACAATGACTTCAAAACCCTGGGAATACATCGCAGACCAATACGAAAAAACTAAACAGAGAAAAATTCAAGCCCATCGACCATTTATAAGTTATCTATCTTTATATACACCCATTCATAAGCTTTGTCTCTACAGAGAAATTTAGCTCAAAGTCAAAACAAATTCATCCGATTCGGCATATAGCAATCATTACCCAACAGCAAGTCACACAGAGAAGAGCATAGATATGTAACTCAACTATTAATAAACACACACACACATACACAGAGAGAGAGATAGGGGGGGGAGGGGGAGGTGGCTCACGTAGATACAGAGAGTCGGTATCTTGGTTCAATGGGGCTGGTTGAGGCCCCAACTGTTCCTCTCATCTTTGCTTGTCACAGCTTGGAGACGGCAACATCTGATCTGCAAGAACAATATAAAACACAAGCTCAAGTCAAGAACTAAATCACAGAAGACCTTGAAATTTCATTCATTCACTACAGCTTCCTCTTCTGAGAGAGAGAGAGAGAGAGAGTAGAGAGAGGAAGATACCAATGATTTTTGTTGGGAAATTCAGAAGCTGTGATTGGAGAAATTGCCTAAAGTTATGGTAATGGCAGTGAAGACTGAAGGTTATGGTCCTATTGAAGTGGTCAAGTGTTAGAAAACGGTGAAATTCCTGTGAGGGTCCAAAGTTGAAGGTGATGGATCTTCAATTTTTTATTTTTTTTTCCGCCTACTTTTATCATAAATTATTTTAATTCCTTTTTGGGTTTTCATGAGATTTTAGTAATCTTAGCATCAATGGTCCTGTAATTAAGCAAAAATATTGGCTAAAAGGAAATAATGATTGTTGGTATAAATTCTTACGCAACTCAAGGATTTCGGCCGACTTGGGTTAACCCACTCAGGTTGCTAGTGGGTACCTCTTATATAGGAAATGTTCACTTATATAGTAGGGGGGAGACGACTCTTACCCGATGTGGGATGGCGGTAAAATATTATTGGGGGGTCGCCCAAGGGATTAAGCCAGGACAACCGAAATTCTTGAGTTGTGTAAGAATTTGTACCAACAATGATGTCCATATAATGATAATTGCAACCTTTTGGGGTCATTTTGGTATATCCCTCAAAGAAACATTGCCTTTTGAATTCAAAATAAAAGTAAGTGTTCAAAATTGTTTTAGCTCAAAACTCCCTTTTCTCAAAACAATTTTGATGAGAAGCACCACAAAAATAGTCACCGATAATCATACATAAATTATCAAGCTCGTTTTTTAAAAAAGTTTAAAAAATATTTTAAATTTAACTCGTTTAAAAAACGAACCGAAATCAAAATGAGTTGAATCCAAACTCGATTATTTTACATATAAATGAGTTAAGTTTTGTTAGTTTTAATGCGAATTCGAGTCGAACCATTTTAAACTCATATAAAAAAACAAGCGTAATTTTTAAACTCGACTTATTTAGAAAATGAACAGAGTTGAGTGAAGCTCTATACGAGTCGAATCTGAGCTAAAACCGGGTAGGTTCGATTATCGGCCTAAATTCTTGTATATTATTTAAGTTCAATATGGCTTAACCATTTTCTGTCTTTTGGTTAAAAAAAAAAATAGCACTTTTGCATCAATAGTTTTTCTTTTAAACTATTTCAAGCGCAGAATCAACACACAATTACTCATTTATCCCAACATTTGAATGCACACAACCGAACAGTACAGGCCAAATAAGCTCATAATCCACTACAACTCCCAAAAAAGTACTTGACTTTTGAGAGATTGCAGTTAAGCTTATTAATTTCTTAGTGGCTTGTCAATGTGCTTGACTTTTCAGAGATTACGGTTATGCTTATTAATTTCTTAGTGGCCTCTTAATGGATCATATTTTGAATGATTCGAGACCCAAATTTGAATTTGGCAAATTTTATTTTCATGGTCTATATCCAAATTTGATAATATATTTGATCTGATCCAAATAAATTAATCATCTAAACTTTAATAAATTATAACGAAATTTTAACTATTTTTTTTTAAAAAACAATTAATTTCTTTAATATTTATATAAAATTATATAAATAATTCATATCAGATCTGATATAAGTATATCCAAATTCGAATCTGTGACATACAAGATTTTGTATTCGAATTCGGATTCGGGTTGAATTATTGGTAAAAAAATATCAAACTATACCCGACTAATAGAATTTTGATCCATTGACCTAAATATTAGTTGTGCAATGGATATAAAATTATTAACTTCCATCAGGTTTTTTTTTTTTTTTAAAACTATTTCAAGCACATAATCAACACACAATTACCTACTTACCCAACATCTGGGTATACAAACTGAAACCAATATCAGTTGAAATCCTAATTTTTTAAATAAAAAAAACCCTTGAATCTTGGAGTATATGCATCAATAAATTGCAGATTTTCATCAATTCATCCAATAAATTCTAGTTGCAAACTTGAATATCTTGTGAATTATATTTTCATAATTCATATTTAAATTCTTTAAAAATCAAAATTTCAATTTGATTCAAAAAATTTAATCAAAACTAAAATTTAGAGTATTTATATGTATTTTAACTCAATTTCATCAAATAAACATCTAATTTCATCATATATATATATATAAACTTTAATCAAATTATAATCAGATTGAATATTAATACATTAAAATAAAATCATTGACCTAATACAATGAATTTGAAAAATCAATCAAAAATGTTAATAACGCATATAAACTCAACCTACGTATGATGTTTGTAAGAATAGTGGGTTATTAAAATTATAGAGGCAAAAAATTGGAGATACCTCTGATGGTGAATTTGCGATGTGATTTCTGGAAAAAAATACTGAACAATCTCCAAATCTCTTTCCTGCAAAATGAACAAACTGGGCAAGATCGAAGTGCTTCGATCGAAGACACTCCGATGTTTAAGTCAGTAATGGAACAGAGAGAATTGCACCAAGATAAGGAAAATTCAGCATACCGTTCACCTTGGTCTCTTGTGCTTTTTATAGATCATTATCCCCTTAGGGTTTCCTCGATTTTAGGTTCAAGGTGGCACATCTTCCTTTAATTCAGTGGTTGAGTTTGAGAAGTTACCGATACTTCTCCAACAATTTCTCTTCATATCTTCAATCTCATCGATTTCGTTTATTTGATTGCCTAGATTTTAGGCGAATATTTAACTTTCCATCTATCGTTTTGAACAGCTCGGACATATCAATCGCCGAGCACACTTCACATTTTCCGAACAGATCAAGAAGCTTAGTTTGATACAAACTAATTTCTTTAATTGCTTTGCCGAGCACTTTGACAGACTCGGCTTGGTACAAGCCGAGCTCTTACTCTGCTTAGCTGAACGGGCTGATAAGTTCGGCTCAGTTAGAAAGCTTTGAGTGGAAGATCATTCATCATGTGGCTAGTCTTATCAATATCACGTGAGCACATTTAATTCTATGTCACGTGTAATCATGAGCTTTAACCCCTTCATTTGCCCCCAGAAAATGTCTGACACACGCTTTTCGACTGTCAGCTGTTTTCTCATCGATTCATCATCATTAATACTTTGTAACCTGTCTTTTCGTTTTGGCGGCATATTCAGAGCTTTTAAATATTGCCTTTTAAAATTCCTCTTCTCTGTAACCGTTTTCCTTCGCATTTTTGCTTTTCTGCTGCCAAATTTTCAAATTCTCATCCTCTTCTTTTTGTGTTCTTACTTCATCTGCACTTCATGACTCCTCTTACTCCATCAGAAGTCCTTGTTTTCAAAGCCAAATATAACATTCCAGACGATATCGAGGTTAGAGTCGCTGGAAAAGATGAGCCATTGATTGGCACAAGGGAATCAATCCTCATCCCTACTCGTGCCATAACCGAGGGTGAGATTCGTTTTCCTCTCGTCTTTCTTATTTGGGTTTTATCTGCTGCCAAACTTTGCCCCCTCCAATGCCGCCTCAACTTTTTCCGGATCGTTATGGGGGTGTCTTCTCTAAATAAGATTCTGGGCCTAAGTCTTGGATCGTGGGAGATCTTATACTACTACATCATTAAGGCTGCCAGAGATAGCTACTATCTATCGGTGAGGAAGAAGGAGAGGTATTTGGTAACTCACCTTCCAGATTCAATCAAGGGACATGAAAATGATGTGGTGTTTGTCTCTAACAATTGGGAATACGCTCCTGGTGTCACTCCATCTTATCGCTGCCCTTACGAAGAAGGCATGCCAGGTATTTGATAGCCTTTATTTTCTGTTCTAACTTTGATTCTCAGTTTTCCTGATTTTTAGGTCTTCTTCTGCACAGGTGAAACTGTGAAAGGAAGGATTGTTGAATCCTTAGTAAGGATTGATCAACTCCAGAAAGTTTGGAATTTCAACAAGTCGTTGTTCTGCCGAGCCGCACACACTCTGCTCAGATACACTCCTACATACGCATAATTTATTGTCGTGCCGAACTAACCTAACGCCACTTTAGCCGCAGATCGGGAAGCGATCTAGGCAGCTCGGTCTCAGACTCCACGTGCCAAGAAGAAGTCTTCCCTTGCAGCTTCTGGGCGTAGGACGATGAAGGACTTCCTTGATTTCCTGTTAACCGTTGAACCGATCCCTCCAACCGAGCCGACTCCAGCTACTTTAATGATTCCGATTACTGTTCTTGACGAATCAACTCCCGAGATCCTTCCCAAGGTGGTTCGTTCCAAAGCCGATGATGCAGGCCCGCCTTTGAATGATCAAGTTGATTTGCCTTGGCCGCTAAAACTTATGTTTGTGTCGAGATAGATCCTTCAGAACCTGTTCATTCCCCTTTTCAAGAAGATGACTCAGTCTTTGAGCTTGCTGACGATCCAGCTCCAAAGAAAAGAAAGATCTCAGAAACTGAGGCAAGTCTCTCCCCTATTCACGTGAATCCTCCTTTTAGACCCATCCTCAAAGTCAAAAGAAGAGAAATTACTGCAAAGGATTCTACGATAGAGGATTTCAACGTTGCAGTTGGAATTGCTCGGGGGGTGATCCTGCCTCGTGACTTGGCAATGAACGAGGCCCTTACTGATGATGAGGTGTCTCGCCAGACCATTCAACATATGGTTTTGGTAGGTCTTGATTTTGACTTCTCTTAGGCTTTTTTCCCTTGAAAATTTTTTTCTAAGTCTTTTCTTTCCTCGCCTCTTTAAGGGTTTGCAAAAAATGCATGAGGTCGGAGCTCGGAAGGACAAGGCAATGAAAAACGCCATCCATGCCCGAGCTTCGGCTTTAGCCAAGAAAGAGAGTATGGATGAAGAATATGCCAAACTCTGCGAAGAAGT